CTCATGATGGTTTGCGACTCGGCTCCCAGCTGTATAACCCAGTCGTAAACCACGAGAGTAGATCCGACAATCGACAGGTATCGCGAGAGAGAAATGTCCGTCATCGCAGAGATGAACACTTCCTGGACTGGGTTTACCGCAGTCATTTCTTTGCAGGGCAAGGTCGCTAGTCGGATCTGAGGACCTCGCTCCGAGAGCGATTCATATAACACCAAGGGAGGTCTCAGGGCGAAGTGGGGAGGGGGGAAAAGAAAATAGGGCCTTTATTAAATACTCCTGAAACCGATGATGGTCTTGGGTGTGTGTTGGTCAACAAGAAGGAAGATGTGGACTCCATGGGGATGGTCGGGGGAGCCAATCGGGGCTTGTAAGGTATTTGGTAGCGTTTTACGCTCCTACATGCCTGAGAAACGTTCCTCGACCAAATAACGCCACAACAGGGCAGGCGACAATGTAGTGGATCGCTTGAATAAATCAGGCGCTGGTATGTGGCTTCGGTCATTTGAGTCGGGTAGGAGTTACATGTCACAGAAAGTTAACCATGGATGCATTTGTCAAACTCTCGAGACGTTCTGTCAGATAGGGAGCCAACCGTGGTGCGGAATCTTCTGGCCCAGGTGCGTTGCCAGGCCTGGTGCATTTAGTCGTGCAGCCGACACCCTAAACTGTTATCCCGTAAGTTCCCAAGAACCAGATACGTCGAATTGAGATGAGCGGACCGTAATAGACCGTAACCACTGTGATCGACACAGGCAAGCTTAATGCGTTGACACTGCATCCACATATTTTAGCGTGGACCAATACCATCAAAGAAGGCGAGAAAAACGGGTCCCTAATTGACAGTCCTTTTTCTGTGGATGCCGCCCGTCTCGGATATGACAGTGGAACAAGCAAATAACCGAACCCCTTGCTGTGCTTTCAGATGCAGACGTTACAAGATATGATTGGACTATAGATGCTTATCACACTTGGCGCCTTTGTTTTACTGGGCATCAGAGTTCAACATGGGTACGAAACATGTTGCGGATTTGTAGTTAAATCCTCTTCTTCCCAGCGCATGATGCTCAGATTCTCTCGGAAAGAATGAGCATTATCTCCGTTACGTTTTGTAAGGTTGACGAATTTGGAGCCGAGGCGATTTCAGGCCCGGTGGGTGGGTCCAAGTTTACGTCTGCGCGGCAGCAGTCCTCCCAAGGCACCAATCAGCACTCTCCAATCCCGCATGCACCTTCATTTCCTGTATCCGATTATACACTCTTAAATATCTGTCCAATAGACTTGGAAGGGTCAGATAGAGGGGTTACATCGGTATTACCAGCCCGTGCCATCGGGGAGCTTCTGTAATTTTAGTGACGCACTGAGTACGTCAAATCCCTACGGTTATTATTAATCAAAGTTAAACTTGGCTAGATCCTCTCACGGCGGCCCACAGCGTGACGGTCTGGGTGCGGTGGCTATTCCCCATGACCAACTTTTTGAATACCTAGACCCTCTGAGGCCATCTGAATAACTTCATTAACCCCTCGTGATATCCCCGTCTCTCTATCCTAGCCCCTGGGATATCTAGCCATCGAGCCTCTCCTCCCTTTCTGCCCATAACGTTTTGTTCCCGTCTGACAGGTATTTGATAGGATAACGGCGATTTTATAGGGTTTTATAACCCTCTCTCATTATGAGTGAGCCATATAGCCCTCATTGTGCAGTAATTATCCCTTGGCTCAATGGAATTTATCCAGTGACCGGTGGATATGAAGCCACCGCGGTAGACATTCGAGGCTGTGTCGCGAACGTGCAAGAAAGTGACGGTGCGATGATCAAGGTCTTTCGGTGCTCAATAGACTCTCTGGGCCTGGGTACTTCTACTTGCCACGGAAGGTGTGCTGGTGCTCTGAGAATAGCCTCCCGAATGCGCTTGCTTTCTGCTCACACTGATATCAAATTGTAGAGATTTCGATTCCTTAGTTCGAGAAGCGATTATTATACAACTCGTAACTATCAGCGACCAGTCCCGAAGTCAGCGACCCATCAGACTCGAGGAAACTTATCTATAAACACATTAGGACTTCTACTTCCAGCCTTCGAAGATCCTTTTTAGTATGTAAATTAAAGGATAGCAGTTTCTATTTCCATCGCGACCTGTAAGCGAGAGCGGATCATCGTCAAAAACGGGCTTACTGTTATCCACTTTACACGGCGAAGCCAATCCTCCTAAATCTATACCTCGCTTGATTCCCATACATCTCAATAAAATCATCCGCACGACTCGCAAAGTTGTCGAGGTATTGCCTTCCCATATGAGCCTTCGACAGCGGCCATACCCCCGCTCGGTATAGGATATCACAAAGTGAGATGATGTCGGGGTAATCTTTGTCGTTAGCTTGATACTGTTTCCATAATTGGTACGAATTGATCCGAATCTCCCATCCCAGTAGCTTGTGATAGAGGACAAAATACAGCGGTGCCACTTGCAAGCCGTTGATTTCGACAAAATGGTTGCGATGAAACGACCAGGGTATTTCCAAATCGGGGTGACTACTGAGGAGGAGGTCTACCTTAATAACGTGAGTCGAATTTGGAATTCGGTACATGAGCTTGAAAAACTCTGCAGTTCGATTCCTGGGTCGTTCGAGATAGAAACGATCAGAGTCGTAGTCTATAAGGGCGTCTTGAATTTCCTCTTCACTCATATCTGGTCGAAGGATAGCAATGTCCAAATCCTAAGCCAATTGAGTGGGTGACGCCTGAAGAGTGCATCTTGAAAGCCATACCTTTACGATTCTATCCACCCCATGCAACTTGGCTGCCATTCCTCCAACTAAACAAGACCAAGTCTCTCCAATCTCAGCCAGCGCATCCAAGACGTAGTCTGCGGCCCAGTAACACTCGTCCCAACTCAGAACCATCCCAGTTCAGATGCCTTGAGCACCAGTAGCACTCTTTAACAAACCCAGAATACTTGTTTGATGCCTTTTTTGTTCACAATAAAGAGCGTGATGAACTCGTGCAGGGGCAAGGTTGACACAAAGCAACAAAGCAAGGGGCGTCAGGCGCTTGACCTTCGCAAGCACAAGCTCGATACAGCTGGCGGCTAGGTTCCTCGCTACGAGTTATGAGAGACGTAAGGTGACCAATCCTTCCCCAAGTTCCTCAAAATGAGCCTATGGGCAAAGTCGTCAAACTGATTGGAAGGACGAGCGTTTCTCCTCTCTTTCTGCATTAGGATCAAACACGGGGGGCAGAGGTGGGTTTTATGCACTTGTAAGTATCTTATTAGTGGCAAAGCACCTCCACTTTTCCTTCCTAGATTTCCTTCAGTAATGCTTTTTTATTATTGTCAGTAATTCACGCCGGATGGAGCGCTAATCAACCACTAATCGATGATTTACTG